ATCAGTCTCCAAATATTGCCGCCGATGTAAACACACGGAGGAGGACAGAAGAACCTGAAGACGCAACAACGGTGGGATGAAAACGCACACGAATGGACGCAAAATGACACGATGAAGGACATAATGAACACATGAACGGCATGATGAACACATGATGACCGTGTTCTGGTTGTTGTGGTGGTGATGGCAAATGTGGAGGCCCCCGAAACAAAAGACTGACAACCAGAAAGAAAGCGATGCACATGAAGACCACTAGAATGGACAAGATGAACACACGAACCTCTTCTCGTTGCCGTAAGACTTCTGAGCGACTTTGGCGTGCAATATGACGACGCTCTGGTGGTCGAGCGCTCCGCCTCGAGGCGCAAATGACTGGCAGGCTGGCTCCGCTCGTCTGATTGGATGAAGAGGGTCGTCAGTCACATTTTTCATGAATGTACTTTACAAATCACTCCAATTTGGACAAAAAGTATTGATTTTATTTTTGTCCATATGTGAGGTCAGAATCTACTCGTGTGAGGTTCTGCTCCACACCCAAACTCATCCAAGTGCGTCTTTATGACACATTCTTTCTTTCTTGGTGCACCAGGAACCCAAACAAGAACGTTTTGTCAACCTGAGTGGACGGGTTGTTTTCAGTCGGCGTCCACTTTGTAATCCTGAGAACATTCCCGCGCTCACGCACACAAGCGGGCTCCTGCTTGACCTTTGCATTCTTAACAGGGGCAAACCCTGCTGGGATGCTGGACATTGTCGCATTTTGTGTGTGTGTGTGTGTGTATGTGTGTGTGTGGTCAGTCACTAGGGTGCCAGATTTTGTCCAAATTAGACCTTCCCCTCCTGAAGGGTGAAAGGTTAACTATTTCACACCAGGACACCCAACAAAGAAAGGGGCACGGGAGCGAACAGCAAGAATCCCAGGAAAGACTTTGCTTGTATCGCTAAAGTCGCTAACATGGTTAACATCGTGACTGTCGCCCGTATTGTTTGTAATTCAAAAGGGAATTCAACCCAAAATTTCAAAAGGTTCTGTTCTTTTTAAATATGCATCCAGTGATCTGTCTGAGAATGCTGCTCTCATGTATATCAAATCATCTTTGAAATTTGACGCGCATACCGAAAATATTACACAACATGTTATAATGGAAAAAAAAGGAGTCTGGTGGATTCACATTAAAAGGGGACGTCAACCCCAAAATGTCCTTCACTAGAATATGTTCTATGCATCCTTGCTAGTCTAAACACGGCATTCTGATTAATATTGCGTTTGTGGAATATGAGGTAAGCAGCAAAAGCTACCCAATTTGTCCATCTCAGTGGCCATTTTTCTACTTGCTGTTGACTGAAAATGACATCACAGTTGCTCAGGGCTCAGGTAATGACCAATCATGTCTCACCCGTTTTCTGAAGCTGAACCGTAATGCGTATTGACCAGTTGTATGAACTTTTGAAAAAAAAATATGAAATTGACCAATTTGTGACTTATGATGTTTGGGCCCGACGCCAGCAATATGGACATTAGTTGTCCATACTCTTTTTTTTAAAACATTATTTTTAAATGTAAGTCGGGCGGCCCGGTGACCCAGTGGATAGCGTGTCGACCTCACAGTGCAGAGGACGTGGGTTCGATCCCGGCTCCGGCCTTCCTGTGTTTGCATGTTTTCCCCGGGCCTGCGTGGGTTTTCTTCGGGTACTCCGATTTCCTCCCGCATTCCAAAAACATGCATGACAGACTGACTGAACACTCTAAATTGTCCCTAGGTGTGAGTGTGAGCGTGGATGGTTCTTCGTATCTGTGTGCCCTGCGATTGGCTGGCAACCGGTTCAGGGTGCCCCCCGCCTCTTGCGAGAATAAAGTGGATCGGAATATGGATACATGGAAGTAAGTCCAACAAACTCTTTTTTTCAGTGTGGATTGTGACAGCCACAAAATAACCAAAGCGAAAACTCTTGGAGGGGGCGCAGGTTGTGAGATTCAGCTTTACTCTTCTTTTTGGGGTTATTTTAAAAAGTGCTCTTTATTGCAAAATGTGGAGAAATAGATACCGACTATGTTTTTAAAAAAATGCTCCGTGGACAAAGCAAAAAGTCAAGTCTTTTTTCTTTTTTTAAAGGTGGGTCATGTGCATGTGCGCAAGTGCGCGCGTACGTGAGGGTGGGCTGCTCTTATAACTGCGCATCGCCCCCGTCCGCCGCCACATTCCAGCACAAACGCTCCGGCCCTCCGCACAGTCCGCTATTGCAGCACACTCGGATAAATGCTGCGCACCTCCCTGTGAGCCGAGCCGGACTTTGCGTGCACCTGCCCGTGTGCGTGTGTGTGTTTGTGTGCGTGTGTGTGTGTGTGTGTGTGTGGAATAGGACATTTTTTTCACGCGTGTGCATCCCACCTGTCCCAGCCCACATGCGCGTCCAGCAGGTGAGTGACCGCCTCGGTTTGGAAGTGAGCAGACTGATGCAGGGAAACGTCTGGAACACATTTCGGAAGGGAAAAAGTTTCGGTTTGCTGTACTTTCCTGCCGTCGGGCGGAATTCTCACATCTCCAAAATTGCTTTCCAAGAACGACCCCTGCTTCATCCCCCATCGTCCAAAAATGCCTTGGTCAACAATTTGAAAACACAAAAAAAACAACGGTGGGGATCAATTTGTGAACAAAAAAATGGAACCAATTTGAGAGGTCCAACAATTCATTAACACCTTCAAATGAATGAACAACCATTTTGAGAATCGAGGAATCATTCGGCGACACCTTAAAATGGTCCAAACCTCCCAATCTTTGCCTCTCAACTAGAAATATCCTCCAATATCGAAAATTATTTTTTTCCCCCCCCAAAAAGAGACATTTGATGTTGCCAAACAACCAGCAACATTTTGGCCAATTTTCTGACAGATGTTACAGCCTATACCAGGAATTGTATCACTTAGATTTGATATCAGGTCATGTTGTTGAATAAACAAATGCAATTATCAATATTTGTTGTTTTTTAAAAAAAATCTGAATCATGAATTCATCCCAAACATGATGGGCAGATTACTCGATGACCAAAAGAGCAAAAGAGTTACTCGTCAGCGGTGGTTCAGCGAGATGTGTCCAAACTCTTGTTAGACTGTCAGGTTCACAAGGTGACCTGGAGGTGATGACCCCAGTCCAACGCCCCCCCCCCCCCCACACACACACACACACACATCAAGGGAGACGGGAAGACGGTGAGAAAGCAAAGAGTGAGACAGTGATTTTGCAGTGAGCCAGTGAGAGACAGAAATGCAGCGAGACGGTCATCGACATTTCTTGAGGCAGCGGGAAGGCAGACGGTGAGACAATAAGATGAGACATGCATGAGACAGTCACAAAGACACGCGGTGAAATGTTCTGAGATGCCGTGAGATCGCGTGACTGACGTGCAGCGATACAGGGAGATTCAGTCAGTTGTGAGAGAGACACACGCAGCGAGACAGTGAGCAAGACGTGTCGCGATAAAGCTGGCAGTGAGACATTCCGACTTGCTGTGAGATAGCGAGAGAGACACACGCGACGAGACGAAGTGATATTCAGGGAGACAGTCGTGAAACATGAGCGGTGAGACAATTCGAAGCAGTGAGATCATGAGACGGACGTGCTGTGAGACAGACACGCGGCGAGACATTCATGAAGACATGCTGCGAGACACGCCATCGGGACAGTTGGCGGGACGCCGCCAGAGCAGACGGCGACGTGCGATCCAACCTTGGCGTGCGTCTTCCATGGCGGCCGCCAGCTCGCCCATCATGGTGGCCGCGTCCATTTGACGCGGCCTAGCTCACGTCGTCCTCAAGAAGAAGAAGAAGAAGAAGACACGGAAGCAAGCTCGGAAGCTTCTCAAGCTTGTCTGCCTCCTGTCAAGAACTTCTGGTTCTTCTTCTTCTCGCTTGCTCACGTCTTCGCTCCACCGTTGATCATTAACTAGCAAGTGATGTGTGTGTGTGTGTGTGTGTGTGTGTGTGTGTGTGTGTGTGTGTGTGTGTGTGCGTGTAAAGTATATGCATTTGTGTGTGTGCGTGCGTGCGTGTACAAAAACGTGTTTGTCTGAGTGTGAGACTGAGTGTGTGATACTTTGTACTGCGTGCATGAGTGTGTGTGTCTTTGTGCGTTTGTGTATACAAACATACAGTAGATAGTCAGCTGTCAGCTTCTCACGCCGTTCCTTCTGGTCAAACACAGTAAAGAACCTTCGCAACTATTCTGTGACGATGGTTAAGAATGTTTAGACTCGTGTCGCAGGGGGCCCTGGTGAAGGGAGCCGCCCCCCAGCTTTGTGGGAGGGGGCCCGCGTTGTCACGGCAACGCGACGGAAGTTAGCTTAAGCAGCTCAACAAACAACACAAAGCACCAACAAGCAACGCAAGAAAAGCCAGCGAGAGCTGACACACAACATCCGTTTTTTTGATCCGCTTATTGTCACGAGGGTCGCGGGGCGTGCTGGAGCCTATCCCAGCTGCCTTCGGGCAGGAGGCACGGGACACTCTGAACCGGTTGCCAGCCAATCGCAGGGCATACAGAGACGAACAACCATCCACGCTCGCACTTCACAGTTAGGGACAATTTTGAGTGTTCAATCAGCCTGCCATGCATGTTTTTGGAATGTGGGAGGACACCGGAGTATCCGGAGAAAACCCGACACACGATAACAGAATCAAAATCATAAGGCAAAATGAGAACACAACCAGCACTCAAACCAGAAGCAAAACCAGAATGAGAAGCAAAAGAAGCACTTGACTGGAACCAAAACACAACCAGAACCTGAGTCTAAACAAGAACAAAAACAGAATCAAAAGAAGAAAATGAAAAAGGACAATACTCTGCAAAAGAACTGGAATGGGACCCTAAATGAGAATAGAAACCAGAACAGTAATCAGAATCCCAACTAAAACCAAAACAGAAGAATTTGAACAACAGAAACAAGAACCACAACCAGAAGAAAAACAAACAACTGGAGAGACCAAAACGACACGAACCATAAACAGGATTCAAAGCAGATCCAAAACCAGAATCAGAAACAAAAGAAGAACCTGAACTCCAACAAAAAAACGAAACCATTCCCTAAATGGGAATGCACCGATCCATTTTCTAATGCGCTTATCCTCACGAGGGTCGCGGGAACCACAATTACAAAAGGTTCCGAGAGAGGAAACTTAAAAAGGACAAAACCCCGCACAAGAACCATAACCTGACCCAAAGCAAGAATCAAAACCAGATCACTAACAAGCATAACAATCCAAACCAAGACCAGAAGAAGAATCTGAATTAGAATCTAAACCAGAAGCACAGCCAGAAGAAAAACAAACCAACCAAGCTGCGAAACCCAAACAAGGACACTGACCACAGAGAGGAATCAAGGCAGAACCAAAGCCAAAATCAGAACCAAAAGAAGAAGATGATCATCGATTAGTCGCCAATTACTTTTCGCACCTCCAATGTTAGCGCTTTAATGGAATGTGCCTGTATCACATGCTAGCATTCCGTTGGCGCCGGAATGGGTGACTTTAGGACTCGACGGGCGTTGGGTGTCCTGGCGGCTGCGGTCCAGTCACCACCCACATCCCACCGCCCTCTTTTGCAGAACACGGAGGGTGCGTTTCCATGGCGACGGAGGTCCAGGCTTCAACGGGTGAATGCAAAGGTTTGTTGATAGCGCGCGGATGTCAGGCAGACCTCGGTCTCGCTCGTCTTGTCGGCCGCTCGTGCCAACGTCAACAAACGGCGCTCACCTCTGACCCCGGCGAGAACACGGTGTTCTCTTCTTCTTCCCTTCCGTTTGTGCTAGCATGTACAGTATTGTTGCTATTACTTGTGTGGCGCGCTACATTGTTGACAATGCCGTTTGCAAACAATCCCTGCTTCCTAATTTCTGCAGGACGTATGGATTTTGATCATGTGGGCTGAGGGCAGTGTTTCTCAAATAGTGGGGCGCGCCCCCCTGAGGCTCCCTCAAGGGGGGCGCGTTTGACCTCAGGAAACATGCTTTTTTATTTTTTTACTGTCCTAGAATAAAGTGCAGTTACACCTCCACTACATTAGGGGGCAGTGGCGCTCTCATTGGCAGAGTGTGCGCAGGGAGCATTCGAAGGGAGGAAATATGACAAAGCGTATGTAGCGCTTGGGATTTTTGCGCTTGCGAAAATAGGGATTTTTTTTTTAAATCTAATCTACTATGTAGTTGACTTTAGGGCTGAAAGAATGACTCGAATACTCCCTCATTTCTGTCGAGGAATTTTCAAACAGTGGATGATATAGTTGACCCTCAGGGTGAAATGATAAATCGATTACTTTGATATCGCGCCCAAATCAAACAGTACCCGGCCCCTCCACAGTGCATAGAGAGCGATTCCCTCCACAGGCGCTAACTTTGGATTTTTTTTTTCACCCTGAAAGATTGTATTTGATGATAAATGAATGTGTGAGTGTGTTCAGCAGGATGGTAGCACGTTGGCATGTGGTGGGGGCAGACAGGAAGGGGTCACGGAGAGCAGGGTGGGGGGGCTTTCTAAGGCCTCTTTGTGCTCCGCACACACACATGCACACACATGTGGCGTTATGTTATGGGTGAAAGGAACTGCGTCTTGTTTTTCTAGGAATTGTAACGCCTGGATGTGTTTTAAAAGGGGGATGTACGTATGAGGTGAAATGCATTTTGTTATTCAGGTGTAAAATTAAGCGTTGAAGTAGGGCTGCACTTAACAATCGTTTTCATCATCGAGCCATCGATCCATTGCGATGGTCAACACATGTTTTGGCACCAAGAAAGTTGCAAGGGTTTTGGGGTATTTTGATGTTACTGAATCCCAAAACGGTTTGTCCAAATTGTTTTTGAGATGTTCCACGTATTTGTCATCTTCCCATCCAAATGATTGTGTTTGATGCACTTTTTGCGCAAGTGCCTGCCGACGGCCTGCTTGGAGCAAAAGCAGAACTTTGGCTGAGTGACCGAAGGAGCCGGCAGGAAGCAAGAGTTGGCGGCCAGGAAATGTGAGCAGATGTGAGCCGAGAAGCAGACAAGCGGACGGACAAGCGCTCTTTGTTTTTTGGGACTGGAGCGCTCATGACGTGACTGCGATCGCTCACCTTTGTCATCCGCTGCCATGAAGCTCAGTTCAGGAGCGCCAAGGCGTTCCTGCGGCAGCTGTTTTCACGTTTCTATTTACGAGGGGGCAGGACCGGAATGTTCACCGTCGTTGTCTGGAATTCTCCGGCAGCTTCTCATCAGCAGCGAAAAACCCAAAACATTTTTCAACGTTAACGACTGAGACGTTGATGGGGTAGAAAGAGGCCATCTGGGAATATGCGCAAATGTTTACATGAACACAACTTTTTACACATTCTCTTCCCTTTCACAGGTGTCCCAATAATGTTGTTCACACATCTGTGTCCCAATAACTTTGTCCAAATGTCCATTTGAGCCCAAATGTTTGCCCAAGCACCGCTTTTGCAGTTAAACCCCGATGATGCTTTGTGTTGCAGTCAGCTGTTGCCATGACAATGAGGCGTATGGGTGCAGGCGTCGCCTTGGTGCTGCTCAGCATGGCCGCTATCACCACCGCCCGGCCCAAAGCAGGTCAAAACAGATTATTAGATTAAAATTTGAAGGATGTACACTATTTTACTCTTTATATATATATTGGAATGACATTGAACAGTGTTAGTATGGCTACAAAGTCTGCCTTTTTGGCTTTGACGTTCACAAATGCTCCAAGTGAGATTATTTGATAGCATTTCCACCCCCCCCCCCCAAAAAAATATCCTAAACGTTTCCCCAGCACAGAAGGATTTGTAGCCACTGGGAAAACGGACAATTGCAATCCGTTCTGTGATGAGCGTCCAGTTGAATGTCAGCACATTCCTCCACGATTAGTTATTTCCTGTTTGTCTGGAATGTTCACATGTGAGCCAACAGGGGGCGCCCGCACATAATGTTATCACGATACCTTCTTAAGAATATACGCTTCCGTATGACAACACTTTATTTGACAACAATAATATCAGGATACCATGACACCAATATCACAATTCTATGATAGCCGTGATATTGTGATACTTTAACGACAATAATATCAAAATACGTTGTTTAAACGATATCAAACTACTTAGATACACTTTGATAACAGGGATATTGTCACAATAATTAGATTAATATTAAAATTAAAAATTACAATGAGATAAACAATATACTTTGAGACCAGTATTCTCATGATACTCTGAGAACAATACTATCATGATACTTTGACAATGATAATATCAAAACTTCCTGTTTGTCTGGCTATAGCAACAGTTTGCCAACTGGGGGCGCTGCCACTGCAAGGAAACCAAATTTCAGTCCAAATGGAGAAAAAAAAACAAAACAAAGAAACTGCGCCTTGTTACCATTGTGTCTTGCTGCAGTTTCTGAGCACAAGTGCCAGTCAGGCCCGGTGGACCTGGTGTTCCTGATCGATAGCTCGCGCAGCGTCCGACCTCACGAGTTCGAGACAATGCGGAAGTTCATGATCGACATCCTGGACACGCTCAACGTCGGACTCAACGCCACCCGAGTGGGCGTGGTCCAATACTCCAGTCAGGTGAGCGCTTGCTAATTCGACACTTCGGATGTTCGCAACAAATGTACGGTGAAGCTTCAGCTTGTTCGGGGATTTTTTTTTTCCAACATAGCATCTTCTCCTAAAGGACGAAGGAATTCTTTTTTTTTTTTTTTTTTTTAACATTTATAAAGTTTTTAAAAGAAAGTAACATGAGCAAATTCAATTGAATGAGTTTACAAATGTACAGGCTGTGTTGACAATTTGGCCATTTTAGTGACTTTTTTGACCATTCCAGCCATTTTACCCAATGTGGCCTTCTTTGAGAATATAAAGAACATCTTGGTCTTTTTAGGTCCGCAACGAGTTCTCGTTGAACTCTTATGGCACCATGTCCAGTATGGTGGACGCCATCCACCGCATCGTCCCCCTGGCGCAGGGCACCATGACGGGCCTGGCGATCCGCTACATCATCAACAACGCCTTCAACCTAGAGCAAGGCGACAGACCCCAGGTAAGGCATGCACGCATGCGCTGCCCATGGTCTCTTTGATGACATTTCACCCGTCTGTCAGGTGCCCAATGTGGCGGTGATCGTGACAGACGGACGTCCTCAGGACCGTGTGGCGGAGGTGGCGGCCGAGGCTCGCCAGAAAGGCATTGAGATCTTTGCTGTGGGCGTGGCCCGGGCTGACATGGCGTCCCTCAGGGCCATGGCGTCCCCACCCTTCGAGGACCATGTCTTCCTGGTGGAGACCTTTGACCTCATCCACCAGTTTGGACTTCAGTTCCAGGATAAACTCTGCGGTGAGAAGTCTGCACCCGTCAAAGATCCTCTAGCTCCACACCAGACCATAATATCCAACAAGGAAATGTTCCATTGCCATCTTTGACAACGCTATTGTGATATTTCAATGGCACTTTGACAAGAAAAATATTTCGATACATTGACAACGATATCATAATACTATTAGAATTTCACGTTTCTTTCACAACAATATAAGGATACTTTGAAAACGATAATATCGCAAAACTTGAAAGATATCCCTCTACTTTGACATCCAACAATATCCCTGATACTCCGACAATAGCGTTGTTGTTGATATTGTGACGTAGTTGATGTTGTTGTTGTCGTTCTTGCAGGTATGGATCTGTGTGTGGAGACTGAGCATGGCTGTGAGCACATTTGTGAAAGTTCTCCAGGTTCTTTCCACTGCCTCTGCCTGCCCGGTTACATGCTCAATGACGACGACAAGACCTGCACAGGTGAGCGCCATGATGAAGATTATAAGAATAACAATCGCGATAAGATGATAAGAATAACCATTGCGATAATCAACGTGTGTGCGTGTGTGGCAGCCATCGACTTGTGCGCTGAAGGAAAACACGACTGCGAGCAGATCTGCGTGAGCACTCCGGGCGCCTTCACGTGCGACTGCAACCCTGGCTTTGCGCTCAACCTCGACAAGAAGACGTGCACCAGTACGTCCCTTTTGCTGTCCCTTTGGAATTTACGTCCCAATACTTTTGCCCACCTGCAAAAAAATATATATAATGTGTCCATTGCATCATAAATGTTGTTGTGCTCTCTTTGTGTGTTTGTGTTGCTCAGTGTTGGACTTTTGTTCCCTTGGTAATCACACGTGTGAGCACGAATGTGTGAGTGTGCTCAACGGATTCCAGTGCCGCTGCAAAGATGGATACCGGCTGATGGACGACGGCGTCGCCTGCCAGGGTGACACAAATGCAAACATTTTGGACTTGGCTTTTGCCGCATTTGACTTTTGATGTTTAACAGTATTTGTCAGATGCCACTCGCCGTTGCTCAAGTGCTCAAGTAAAATGTATGCTTTTTTTTTTTTGTACGTGCGTGCGTGCGTGTTTGTTGCAGCAATCGACTTGTGCGCCGATGGCGAACACGACTGTGCGCAGATCTGTGTGAGCTCTCCTGGCGTCTTCATGTGCGACTGCAACCAGGGCTTCACGCTCAACCAGGACAAGAAGACATGCACGCGTACGTCCGCATGCACGCACACGTACACACACACTCACACATACACAAATTTTTTTTTCTTCCACACACATAGTGAACATTCCCAGTACAAAAACAAACTGCGAGCTTCATCCGAACATGAACGATAAATGATATTGACATGTTAACAGTTAGCGTAGATAGGTGTAGTTTTACAAGCCAGTTTGAAGAGCAGAACAATTCGTAATTGTAATCCTCATCGGTAATATATTCTTTATCCTCTGCAAAAAAAAAAGACTTCTACTACTGCAACTTACCAAGTCACAGTCCTGTAGAAGAAGTCAAATTCTTCTTTTTGTACTGTATGTTTTGTGCATGTCTGTATTATGCTGCCTCCTGCTGGCCAAGGCTGTCTGAGCGGTTGCAACACAATGAAGCCGTAAATCATGACACAAGACAATCAAATTTCTTTCCGTTTTATTCAATGAAGTTGTTGTTATTATCAGGTACAATTTTTGTAGAGTGGAGAAATAAACAAAATCACAAAAAATATATTTTTTTCGGGAGTAGTGGCGGTTGTAGCAGGAATGGAACAGATGAATGGCATCATTCAAACATGGGGAAAGATGATTTGTGATCTGAGTGTCATAGACTGAATTCAAGCCGTATCTGAAGGCGCAAGACGGCCGCAGCGCTGGGGAGACACAAAGACATCAGCAAATCTTCGTAGTGCATGGAAATGTCTACTCAACTCTGTCGATGATTGTGACCAGATTTCGCATTTCTCAAGTTGATCTTGAAGAGGTGCAACAAATCATCAATTAATTGACCAATGTGTGTGTGTGTGTGTGTGTGTGTGTGTGTGTGTGTGTGTGTGTGTGTGTGTGTGTGTGTGTGTGTGTGTGTGTGTGTGCGCGTTTGGCAGCCATTGACCTGTGCGCCGAAGGCAAACACGACTGTGAGCAGATCTGCGTGAGCTCTCCCGGCGCCTTCACGTGCGACTGCAACCAAGGCTTCGCGCTCAACCAGGACAAGAAGACGTGCACGCGTACGTATGCGTTCACCAAATTGGACAAATATGTCCAATTTTTATTGTTGGTTTATTCATGGACATATGTAGTCATTTGCCCATGAGTTGATTTGCATCTTTATTTCTTTTCATTGTTTTTTCAGAATTGGACATGTGTAACTCGCTGGATCACGGATGCGAGCATCGCTGCGTGAGTACGCCGGGCTCGTATTACTGCGTCTGTCCCGATGGACAACTCCTGCAGGAGGACGGCAAGAGCTGCGGAAGTAAGGGCACACACTCACACTCGCACGCATGCTCACACAGACGGCACACAACACAATCACGCGTGCATTAAGTCCATACGCAGAAGACACACATGCACTCAGCTAATTGTCGCTACGACCGTTGCGGCGTTTCAGCGTGCAAGTCGGCCGTCATCGACCTGGTGCTGCTGATCGACGGTTCCAAGAGCGTCCGCCCTCACAACTTCGAGCTGGTCAAAAAGTTTGTCAACGAGGTGACACCGCCCGCCCGCTGCGAGTCTTTCCTGATCGTGCGCCCGCTCATTCTTCTCTCAACTTCATATATCAAATTAGCGGGAAAGATTCAACACAAGGCAACAGTTTCGATTTGAAATCACCGAGTGATTTGGGCCTCGGGAACAACGATGACTCGTCGGCTGACTGTCGACTCCCGAATGGCGACTCGGGATTTTGTCCAAGGTGCGATTTGACGTCGATTTGCCGTCCCTTCGTCAGGTGGTGGACACGCTGGACGTGTCGGAGCACGGCACTCGGGTGGGCCTGGTCCAGTACTCCAGCCGGGTCAGGACCGAGTTCACCCTAAACCAGTTCCAAAGCGCGGACGACATCAAGGCTGCTGTTATGAAGGTCAACTTCCTCTTATGGGCTTTTATTGTGAAATGGCGAAAGACTAGAGCGGGAATAGAAGGAAGGATTATGTGTTTTATTTTGAAATGTGTTGGATTGAACACATATAAGCAGTATTTGACTTTGCTCTGAAACGGATAGCGTACATGAAGGAAGGATGACTTTTATTATGACATGTTGATGTGGAATGTTAAATGTTGTACTGTACGCGAAACGAACGAGAAAAGCCTCATTTGGACACAGAATGAGAGTCGAGACAGAACGAGTTTATTTTGATGGTCTCCATGTAGAAGGGAAGACTTTTATTTTGACATCTAGATGGAGAGTGTATTCTTTTGTTGTATGTGCATCGGGCATAGATGGCTTACATGGAGAAGGGCACGATGACGGGCATGGCGCTGCAGCACATGTTGGAGAGTAGCTTCTCGGAGGCGGAAGGGGCCAGACCGCCGGCCCGCGGGATTCCCAGGATCGGACTGGTGTTCACCGACGGGCGTTCGCAGGACGACATCAGCGAGTTCGCCAAGAAGGCCAAACAAGCCGGTCGGAGCCAGACACTGCCAATCCACTTCTTCTTTCCTTCTCGCCTGCTTCCCATTTTCTTTCCGTACGTGAGCTAACTTCTTCCTGTTTGCTTCCAGTCCACTTCCTGTTTCCTATTCATCCGCTTCCTGTTTTCTCTCATCTGCCACCCAACTCCTTCCCGTTTGCTTTCCATTGGCTGCCCGCTTCTATTCCTTCATGTTTGATTTCTTGTTGCTTCCTGTTGGTTTTGCGTCTGTTTCCTTTTTGCTCCCAGTTTCTTCTCTCTTGTGTCGCTTTACCTCCCAATTTGCTTGCCACTTTTTTCCCCCATTGCGTTTGATTCCTTTTTGCTTCCGTTAATTTAGTTTGCCATTGGCTTCCTGTTGAGCTGCTTCCAGTTCTCATTTGCTCACATTTTTTCTCCCATTTTCTTCCCATTTACTTGCAGTCACCCACCTGTTAGGGTCCCATTTCTGTCTTTGAATCTTGATTTCCTTGCATTCGCTTTTTTTTTTAACTTGTTGTTTCTGAGTGCTTCCTTCCTGTTTTCTTTCCCACCGCTTTCCCCTTTTTGCTTCCCATTTTGATCCATGTTGCTTCTGTTTTTTTTCCCACATTTGCATACTAATTTGCTTTTGCCTCATATCATGTCGGAATGCTGACTGTACGATGTTGGCTTGCCGCCAGGCATTATCATGTACGCGGTGGGCGTCGGCAAAGCGTTGGAGGAGGAGCTTCGCGAGATCGCCTCGGAGCCTCTGGAGAAGCATTTCTTCTATGCCTCCGACTTCACCGCCATCAGCACCATCGCGCTCAACCTTAAACTAAACGTGTGTCCAGGTACTAAAAAAAAAAAAAAAAAAAAAAGTTAAAAGTGGCAGTGAAAAGCTTGGCAATGGTTTTCCTGGCTGATTTGCATCGGCATCCACAGAGGAAAGTCAAGGTGAGATCGAGGTGAAGGACCCGTGCGCCTGCGAAAACCTGGTGGAGTTCCAGCAAGCCACCATAAGCAACCTGGACCGCATCACGCAGTCGCATATCCTTTTCATGCAAGCCGCTCTGCTTTTCATCAACACCGCATTCCCCTTTTACGCAGAGTTCCGAGGTATCTGACTAGTGAAACATGCTCTGGAGACTTGGCAAGGAGACGTGGTATCTATTCACCTCTTGACCTGTTGATTGGCCACCGAGGTTTTGCTCCTTAGCGTCTGGGCTTCCACTGACGGCAATGAGCGCCCGACTGGTGCAGCTGGAGCAGCAGCTGCTTAACAGGAAGTGATGCGCAGGAAGCGGGAAGACAGCTTGGGTCTTGCCACCCACCCCCCTCGTGGCAAGAGAGACGCCGCAGGATCAACAACAACGACGACAACGGCGGCAAGGACAACAGTGAGGAGGACAGCAACCGAAGCATGAAGCAGAACAACAACAATGACAAAGCGAACTAACAAAGACATCATCATCAACAACAAGAATCGGAATTCTGATTCTGATTCTGCACAGTGACATCAACAGGAAGAAGAGCAGCAGCAACACCAGTCGCAACGACAACAAGAGCAACAGCAAGAACAACACAGCAACGACAACAACGAGATCAAGGACAACAAATCAACAATGACAACAACAAACAAGAAGCCTTGAGGACTTCCCACTTGCGTTTCTCCTTTTGTAGCGTGCGTTATTCTGGAAGCGAAGTATAGGAAGTCCTGTTGTTTTTACAATTTTGGGGCGAAACGTTTACTTTTGATGGTTGTCAAGATGACGACCACTCGACCATTCAAACCTCCAACGTGACTTTTTCTGCGACCGTGATAAGGAAAGTTTGCATGTGTGTGGATCACAGAAAGAGAAACATGTAACTTTTGTATGAAAAATATTTGGATAATGTTTTGGTTTTCCATATTTGTGACATATGCACCAAACACCAATAAACAACTTACAAATACTTTTGTGATTTGACAGCAGTACTGGTAGGCGGAGCTACGTCTCTAATCTAATTTGAAACCTTAACTCAGGGCTGGAAACATCACAAATGAAGGACAGTACATGAAGGGAGACAGAATTTATTGAGCGAGTGTCCGAGCAATGGATAAAACCCAAATATTGTAGAGTACAGTGTAACCGTGTTACACATCCCTAATTACCAAAAATGAAGATGGGCTAAGATAGAAAGAAAAATAATGAAATGTTTTTATTCATGTAAAAAAAAATAAATAAATAAAAATAAAATAAAACAATGTGGAGAAAACCAAGCCATACGAATCAAATCAATCCAAAGAGTTAGCGGAAGTTTTCCCCTGGGCGCCGTCTCCTGGGCTTGCGTGACGCGAAGCAGGATCTCTGAGTCTCATCAAGGTGCCTGCGGAACTTGTCGTCGCGGAGGCCGTAGACCACAGGGCTGAGGAAGCGAGGCAGGATGTTGACCAGCAGGTAGCCCACGTAGCGGATCTCCCGAATGTGGCCTGGGAACACCAGGATCAGCAGCAGCTCCACGCCGGGCGACACGTAGGACAGCAGGCACATGGCCAGCTGGATGCCGTGCAGCAGGACCGTGTTGCGGGCCCTCTCGGCCAGACACTTCTGGGCTGAGGCGCAGCGCGCCGCCATCAGAATCTTGATGTAGGTGAACAGCAGCGTGAGCAAGACGCACAGGAAATAGAAGCAATCAAAAGCGATGCGCTTGTACATCATGGCGGGACTCGGAAAGACGTTGGCGCGCAGGCAGAAGACATAGCCCAGGAAGTAGCCCGGGGGCTCGTTAGCCAGGGTCACAAAGAGGTCGGTGATGTCAGGGGCCACGCTGATGAACCAGATGAGCAGCACGGTCAGGTAGGTCCTCCGGACCGTGCACATCTGATGGTGCCTCAGAGGCCTGCAGATGGCCACGTAGCGCTCCAACGCCATGGCGGCCAGATTGAGCGGCGTGTTCCTGGTGCTGAACACTGTGAGCAGGATGAACACGCAGCACAGGGACACGCGGATGCGGTACACGATGTAGCTGAGCAGGAACAGGGTGATGCTGAAACTCAGCTGAGCGCTGTCGTTGATCACCATGTGGATGAACAGGATGTAGCGGGGCTCCTCGTGAAATGTCTGCGCCGCCCCGGGCAACAACATCAGTGGCGATATCAGTGTTATTGTCAACAACCACATCAACATTATGATGACAAAATAGACATATAAAGACATCGAGACATGCTTGCTGGACTCATTAAAGAGCTGTTTTCAATCCTAGGATCATCTATTCTTCATATGATTAATCACCGTCCCCTCTGGCACTCGACCTACAGCTTTTAATACAACCGTCATTGGACCTTCAAGTCCTTTCTGCACTGCACTCGCTCAGTGTGAAAGAAAGACAGTTTTGGGGTTTTGTGTGTGTGTGTGTGTGTGTGTGTGTGTGTGTGTGTGTGTGTGTGTGTGTGTGTGTGTGTGTGTGTGTACGTGTGTGTGTGTACGTGTGTGTGTGTACGTGTGTGTGCGTGTACCTGGTGCTTGAAGAAGGTGGCGAGCAAGGAGGCATTGATATATGTGAGCAAGGCCCACAGAACAACCACAAGGAAGTTTTTCACCATTGCGGAGACAAAACTGTCCCTCAAAACCACCTAGGACACACACACACACACACACACACACACACACACACACACACACACACACACACACACACACACACACAAAATGGTGGACAGGCAAAAATGCAGGATGTAGCCTACTCAAGAAACAAAAAAAAAAACAAAATAAAGCAAACATGACATTTGGAATCAGAAATACTCAATTAACCAAAGTCACCTTAAAAAAATAAGATACAAATATCAGACAAAAACCAGAAATAAACTCACTCACTCACTCACTCACTCAACTGTGAACATGACAAGACAGACGCGGACACAACAAGCAGCAACAGAACAAAGACTTTACGAGACCAGGGAACCAAATGCGAGCAAACTGACGAGACAACGAGGAGCACCCGGCCAAGACACAAGTGGCGTCAGGAGCTGATTGGAAAACACGAGAGACCGGCAAGATGAGAACAACTGGGCACACAGATAACACAGGAACAAAAGGATGGAGAAATGGTGGCTTAACTAAAAACAAAAACACAGACTATGATTCCTGATGGTGTTACTTGGAATCTTTGTATACACACAAACACACACACACACACACACACACACACACATACATAAAAATCTTTGAATGTTTTGGAAGCGAAGTTGTGAGTGTGACTGTTACCTGCGGTGGCAAGGTTGCGTTGTCTGAAGAGTTCATGCTGCTGCTGGAGAAGGTAGAAGAACAAATAGGAAATCAAAGATGAACTGAAAATCAACAATGCGTCATTATTAACAACCACGCCAATCGTTCACCACCCATAAAGGGACTTGATCATGATCCCAATGAAAGATGGTGAACGGCAAAGAAATATTTGTGCGCGAACGCGTGTTTATAAGGGAAAAAAAGTGGCCGGTGTGATGTCACACACGGGGCGGGTGCAGCCTCCTTCTCAGCAACGGCAAATGGCTGCAATCACAATATTATTTCGACACAATATGTGACACAATATTATTTCGAGGCCGCAGATTGAAATTCAGCAACAAACAGCATATCAGCAACAGTTTGTGACAAAATAAAATGCTTTCAACAACTTTTTGGCTTAAAAACATTCAGACGAAACACAAAATTTCAAGATGATTAAATAAATTCTCTAGGATGAGTTTGTTAAAATATTAAAAGGCCCAAAATGGCGCCGAATTCCAAAATAGTCAAAATGGCGGACTTCCCATTCGATTTAGCAGATGGCACCAAAGGGTTTTTGTTGATCTTGGGCTGTTGCATATGCCTCTCAATTCTCACAGATCTTGGTGTGAAACATACAACCGGGAATGCTTGGTGAAAAAAATCTGTAGGGGGCGCTTCTGAGCCATTTGTTGAAAATCGCACAAGAAATCTCTAAAATAATGATTTGCCTTTCCAAGCTCCTATATTTTGTTCTTCTACTTCTTCCTTTCATAACTCTGCTGCTGTGAATTGGGAATTTCTCCATTGCGATACGAATAAAAGATTTCTTATCTTATCTTATCTTATTTTTATCCGTGCAAATTTTCATCAGTTTTCACCCAGGTTCAAACACTCAAAAACAGCGTAATTTGTCTTAGCAAAGAGTGCATTGTGTTTGTGGATACATGCACACTCACACAAAAAGAATAAATCGTGTTTTCATCGTGTCCAGTATGATTATTATTTTTTTAGATAAAACAAAGCATAATATTACAAGTGTGTGTGGAGATGTTGACATTTATTTTTATTTTCTGAGTTCATTTACAAACCTGAGCTCATGTTTTCAACCGTTTCAAATGTGTTTTTCTTTCATAATATTAAAATCTCAATAAACAGTCGTAGGGCAGCAAAAACATTGTAAACTATTGTAAAACAGTTGCAAACTGCAAAAGCCTGCTTGCAATTCATTATTTATTGTTGTAAGCCTTCGCCCGGGTACACACATAAAGATTTTTTGAATCTGAAGAGATTTTTTTTTACTTTGAAAGACCTGACAAATAAAGATAAAAAAATTAAAAATGGGGCATTTAACAGTTTTGGTCATAATTTGGGTGTGTGTGGGGGGTGGAGGGCAGGTGGGGGGGGGTGCTAGAATAGTATCAACACAAAGCACCACACACGAAGGTCCCCTTCCACTCGTGTGTAATCACACGTGATCTCACGAAGAAGAAGAGAAGCTTGTGCCAATGTTACCCGAGTGTTTCCGAAAATGGCCGGAGCACAGTGAAATAATCAGTGACATCTAGCGTTAAAAACAGATTGAAACGGCGCTTTCGAAGTACATTCTGCACTCCCACTTTCCTGCGCTTGGGTCCATCACGTTCCCCTTCACGTCAGTGCCAGCAAAGACCACTCCCGTGGCACTTTCTGTTGCTACATGATGTTGTTGAAAGGTCTGTAATTGTGTTCATGTTCGGTTCTGTTCTTGTATTTGGATGATCTGAGCTTTTTCTGGGGGCGCATGCCATATCAGGATGAGTCACCGTGAGGTGCAGTCCTGCAAATGAGGTAGTGTTTGAGGTACTTCCTGAAGCACTTGTCCCTCACACCATATATGATGGGGCTGATAGAGCGGGGCCACACTTGAACAATGATGTAGCAGGCGAACAGTGAGTCCGAGTAGTTTTTGGGGAAGACGCGCAGTAGCGCGTCCTTGACCAAAGGCACAGCATACGTGGTCATACACAGCAGAACCTGAACGCCGTGCAGGACGATGGTCCTCCGAGCCTTCTTGGCATCCTTGCTGGCCGTTTGGGCCGTGAACAGGATCTTGAAGTACGTGAAGAAGATGACCGACCACACGATGACCAGGTAGACGATGTAGGTGATGTCCCGCTTTTGGATCAACATCGGGCTGGGGAAGGCCGTCTCTCGGAGGCAGAAAATTTGGGACGAGAAGAAGTCCGTCCGTTTGGTGGCCAACGTGACGAAGAGGTCCGGGAAGGCGGAAATGACGCTAATGGTGAAAATCAAGGTGATGAGGAGCAGAGTCCTCCTGACCGTGCAGATGTGAGCGTGGTGAAGCGGAAGACGCACGGCCACATAGCATTCGCCTGCCATGCACGCCAGGATGAGGGGCGTGTTCTCGGTGGTGATGATGGCCATTAGGATGAAAGGGGCGCACGACAACACGGTGATCCTGTAGAGGGCGTAGCTGATGACGAACAAGGTGATGCCCACACTCATCTGGATCATGTCGTTCACAACCAGGGTGAAGAACAGGATGTAGCGTGGGTTGTAGTAGAAGATCTGGAAGACAGCGAGTTGGAACAAGTTGACGCTCGATCGTAGCTCAGCCTAACAGCAAAAAGGGGGTAAACATCCATCCAACCATTCATTTTCTAATCCGCTTATCCTCACGAAGGTCGCGGAGCGTGCTGGAGCCTATGCCAGCTGTCTTCGGGCAGTAGGCAGGGTACACCCCGAACCTGGTTGCCAGCCAATCACAGAGGGGACAAACAGCCGAAGTCAAAACATCATCAATCTCACATACTCCTCACCAAACGATGTGTTCCTCAAGGTTCTGTTCTCGGCCTTGTCCTTCTTTTCCCACTTGGTCGAATATCCAGAAAAAAAAATGTTATGGGTTCCACTGTAACCCAGATGCCACCCAGCCAAACCCTTAAGCATGTCCCTGAAAGCTTTGTGGAAACCACAACCTGCTTTTAGTTCAACTTCTGCCAATTAAATAGCACTTAAAACTGAGCTTTTCACACTCAGGAGACAACCAACCTAAAAATCAAAAGACCAAATGCCCCTTCAGAGGGTGTTCTTCAAGGCTCTGTTCTCAGCCTTGTCTTCAATTCAATTTGATTTTATTTATATCGAGCCACATCACAACACAAGGTGTCTCCGGGCACTGTAAACATGGAGCAGGTTCACTACCTGGTGCTTGCAGAAGGTGTACATGAGGCTGACGTTGATGTAGTTGATTGACAGCCCGATGGCGAGCACCACCACATTCTTGACCACTGCTTTGCTGAGCGAGTCTCGGTACTGGATGACCACGCTCGTGTTGGCCAAAGCAGCGTCCGCCATCTTGACATACGCACGCACACTAACAATAACAGCGGAAAAAATTATTAAACCTAAGAGTCATTCCAAAATGTGGAGGGTGGGTCACAATTCAAACTTTGATCCAGGTTACTAAAATCTTGTAAATCAATTGATGGAGTAGGCTAGTGTCACGGTATATTCAGCATTTGTGACAAAAATCTGGTACACATTTCATGAATGTAGTCATTATTTATTGTAAAAATTTCACATTGAACATCTTTCCTGCTTCAAGCTTAGCAAAGCATATTCTGGGAAAAAAAAATATTGAAATTTCAAAAAGCTGTTTATCACAGTTATAATCACATAGAAAGCATATGGATGTGATTACAAGGTAACAAGACAAAAGTGAACGTAAGGCATATTAAGACCAAGTATAATATCATTCATTGTAACAATAAAATAAACCTGCCATTTGACTTCATCACCCTCTCTGCAGAAAATCAATACAGGAAATGAATTAAGATGTAAAGCCGATCAGGGAAAAAAGAAGAATAAAATAAGCAAACTGAGAAATGACACATCAACAAATACACTTCATGAACACTGGGCAGGCAGAGAAAAAAACAAGCACACACTTCTTTCAATCATTATGTTATTAGTTACTATTATTATTATTATTTTATCATTAATATGATTGGTGTCAGTCTCAAGTTGAAACAATAAAAACGATATGTGTGGACCACAACCTGTTTCAAGCACAAGATAAAGATAATAATAATGATTATTATAATATAATAATATTAATAGTAATAATATAGTGAAATGAGACATCCAGATGTTTCCGTAATATGCAGAGACCCGGGAGGGCTACAATGAAGACTCCACTCTTACGCAAATATGAATCATAAACTACTATACTATATTTCCGCAACGTGTATAGAAGAAGACTAAAAGATGAAGCGGATACTCACCCGTGTCAGGACGCACCTCTGACCCCCCCGCCCGCCAGCCAGCCATCTTTTATAGCCGAAAGCCACACACACACACACACACACACACACACACACACACACGCACACACACACACACACACACACATACACACACACACACGCACACACTCGAATGTGTTGTCATCTACAGGGTGACATGAAGAATGACGTGTTCCCTCATGAGATCCGCCATGCGTTTTACATGGCGGCTGCTTTGCGTTGGCTCGGTGCCAGTTTGTCAGTGTATCAGGTGTGTGGTTATCTGCCATGTCTGAACATGATTGTTATTAGAATGAATAAGTGTTGTGAAATATGATCGTTGTAGTGAAGCGGTGGTCATGCAAAGGTCTGAAAATCGCAGCAGCAGCGGGCCTCCGACAGCAAACCAGCATGCCTCCTACTACAACTACTGTTGATCATCACAATAACCACCGCTCCTACATAAGGCTCCAGCACACCCACGACCTGGGCTTCTGATAATGGATGGATGATTTTTATTTGATTTGCTTCAGTCACGGTTGTCGACTGGTTAGCACCGCCGCCTCACAGTGCACAGAGGTGCAGGGTTTGAATCTGACTTCGGCCTTCCTGTGTGGAGTTTGCATGTTCTCCCCGAGCCTGCGTGGGTTTTCTCTGGGTGCTCCAGTTTCCGCCCACATTCCAAAACCATGCCCGACAGGTTAATGGAACACTCTAAATTGTCCCGAGGTGTGATTGTGACCGCGAATGATTGTTTGTCTATGTGTGCCCTGCGATTGGCTGGCAAGCAGTTCAGGGTGTCCTCCGCCTACTACCCGAAGACAGCTGGGATCGGCTCCAGCGCGCGGGCGACCCTTGTGAGGATAAGCAGATCTGAAAATGGATGGATGGATGGATGGATGGATGGATGGATGGATGGATGGATGGATGGATGGATGGATGGATGGATGGATGGATGGATGGATGGATGGATGGATGGATGGATGGATGGATGGATGGATGGATGGATGGATGGATGGATGGATGGATGGATGGATGGATGGATGGATGGA